CAGATAAATAGGCTTAACCACCTGCCTACTTACATCATTCTCTTTACTAAATACAATGGGTGTTTCTTTTAGTAAAGCGATGGCTGCATCTATATTTTTAGATATATTTTGTAATAAAGTGACATATAAATTAGTATTGGATTATTTTAAAATATTACCTAATAATGATAAAATATATAGTGATATTGATTGGTTATCCAATAATTTAGATAAATCAACAGATACAGAATCATCTTGTAGTTTTCTATTATTAATAAAAGAAAATAAAACAGATTATGAAATTAAAGATAATAAGCAGTCTAACAATAGTAATAACAATATTAAACAATATGTGATTACAGAAATAAAAGATAATAAACTAAAGCATTGTTTAAATGAAACTTATAGACCAATTAAACAAATGATAAGAATGTAGGAATTAGATTATAAAACTGTTAAAGAAATGCTTAAAAATAATAGTAAGGATATTTTAAATTTATTAGAAGTTTGTAGCAACCACTTTAATTTTGGCCAAGATAGATTATATTCACATGGTTCAAAAGCTTTTGTATTTATTCCAAAAGGCTGGATTCACAAATATCATTATCTTTTTTGCTATAAGAACAAATTTTTTTTTAGTTGAGTTGGAAAATATACTTATTATTGTTAGAATATTTTAAATTAGAATATACAGATTCCATGTCAGAGCATAAAAGTTTGTCTAGTTTTTAGTTGAAGCAAACATATTACACAATTAATAAATGAAAAATTATCTCACTATATTCTATATATTTTAATTTAGAAGATGATTATTTTTTTCAAAGACAAGGCAGAGGAGCAGAATCATTTAATTGTAAGAAACTGCATGTTGATAATAGTTCTAAAACTCTTGAGCTTTTAGAAAACTGAATTTTAAATATTGCTACATTTTTGGATAAACTTTCAAAAGATATTCTTGCAGAAGAGCTTTTTAAAGCATATAACCAATTTTACTTAAAAAAAAAACAAATACGTATCACTTTACCAATGCTTATTTCATAAATATAATATTTTACCAACAAAAATTTATTGACAATTATTTTACCAACAAGTATATTTTACCAACAAGTTCATTTATCAATAGTTTATTTCACTGACGCTCATTTCAAATACAAGCTTTTTTTTATAAATTCTACCAACCTTAACTCTAATTCTAACCTAAACTTAACAACAATTACTAGAATTTTTTTATTAGTGAAATGAGCTTTGGTGAAATAAACTGTTGGTAAATAAACTTGGCAGTAAAATATACTTGTTAGTAAAATAATTGTTAGTAAATAGTTGTTAGTAAAATGTTATTTCTATAAAAAGAGCATTGATAAAGCGAGCTAAACTGAAAAAACTTATAAAAAATGAATTACATTCTACTTAAGTAAATTAGCCTAATACACAACCATTAAAAGTTAATCCTCTGAGTTATATAGCAACAAAAATTGCTATGCGACTAAAAAAATTCAATTGTCAAGTCTTTTTAAAATGGCAAGTTACTTAAAAATTATTAAAAAACAACCAAAAAAACTTGGAGAGGCTTTAGGATATGCTATTTGGAAAGCATATTCAGAAATTCATGAAAATAAAATAAAATTAAAATATCTACAATCTTTAGACTTATATTGTAATAGATTTTCTGATTTTCTTAAAAATTTTATTAACAGTTTATTAATTTATATACAGCAAAAAAATAGGCAATAGTACAAAAAAAAAAGAAAACAACAATATCAAACAACTGAAAATTTTAATTCTAATCGTACTATTAAAGTTTTAACATTTTTTATTCAGTTCTTCTTACTACAAAAAGGAAATAATATTTGGAATGTTTGTATAGTAGATAATATAGATTTTAAAGAAAGTATATTTAGTTTTGACAATATATATAATATTATACAAAAAACATCATATACAATGTTAAGAATAGTTTTTTAATTCTTTTTACCTAAAATATTACAAGAACTTACAATAGAAGCTGCTAATAATAATAAATTTAATAAATTTGAAATTGGCATTTCTTTATTTGTAGAAAAACAATTACTAGAATTTAAAAAAAATTTTAATAATTTACTAGAAATTAAAAATAAAGATTTTGACTTTACTGATATATATTAAGAAATTAAAAAAAAATATAAAAAATATTCAAATTAACCATCAATTACCCAAGCTGAATATAGTAATTCTTCAATCAGGTGATCAACTAAACTCAAATCAAAGTATATATAAATTGGTTTTAATGTATAAAAATGATATAGAATGCAATAAACTTGGAAATTTAGATGTTATAGCTTTTTTACCAAATGGCAGATATACAAATTAATCCAACAAAATCGATATTGACTACCAATGCCAAATCTCTCTTTTCTATTTCTTTTATCAACTCAACAATTCAACCTATCTCAGCTAGCCAACCTTTTAAATTTCTGGAGTGCTGGATTACTCTTAACAACAAACAATCTGAACAAATTAGACTTATACAAGATGAAACTTTTTAACTAACCTTTATTGCTAGTACAAAAAAAATTACAGACAAACAAATTGTATACGTTATCAATACTGTCATTATTTTTACATTAGAATACAGAATCTATAATATAGTTCTTTCACGAACTATATGTAATAATATCTTATCCAAATACTTTACTATAGCTAAACACAAATCTTACCTTGCAAAATCAATTACTAACAGCACTATACTTAACCTATATTTATACAATATTCAAAATATCTGGGATATTCAATTACAGCACCATATAACCAATTTTCTTCAACGTATCAATAATCCTCATCTTTTAGAAACAACTACTTATATTAGATTACAGCAGCTACAAAATAACTTATAGTTAACCATTAATATACTTCAACACCCACAATCTATAATAAATGGTCCAAACAGATTTACACTTAACTTTAAAATTATCCAGCTCCTTACACATTTCAAATTATCTGTGACAGCAAATTCTAATATCTTATGGCCTCATACAATTCAACACAACTTACAGCCACTAGAGAAGATACTTATAACAAACC